GTTTTTTATCTGCGACAAAGTCGCCTAATTTTAGATGCATAGATTTTCCTAAATATTTAGATTTATATCTAAATACATGTATAACTACTGGCTATCCAGCCCCGTACCATATTCTTGTTTGGGTTTGTCTCACCATGCTCATCTGTGGTGACACACACCCCTGTTACCAGGGTATGTGTAACCCCGTTACATTTAATCACCGCATAATTGACCACCGATGGGAAGCATGGTATGACGGGCGATTCTACCTCTGAAAGCCGGCAGTGTCCTAACAAACAAGTGGACATGGCATCAACCTCAACAATCACGAGTAATCTGATTTAAATATTACTTTACTTCGCCTGGTATTGAAAACAACTTGAGCGCATGAATTTCCATTTCGCGATCCACATGAAAGCCATCCCTTTTTCGACGATAGTTTCGGCGAAGATCAACTCCTTGCATCTGGATTTAGTGATCTTCTAGTTGCGTCGGCACGTCGACTCTCTTCGAGCCTTACAGTGTGCGCCCAACGCTGAAATGATCCAGACTTCTAATTTTCTTTGCCATCTTGAAGAGAAGAGAATAGTGCCTGGCTTGAGGCATCTCAGTCGCCTCGGCACCGCGTCGCTGCTTTAGAGCAGAGATTAGCTCAGCCACAGGGGATGGTAGAGATATTGATGCGTCTATACCAACGTCCTTCACATACAATCGGCTCATACAAACGTGATTCATCATTTGACTTCATTAAACTCATGTTGAGAGTGCGTGCTTGCGGGTCATTATATGCATATCCAAGCCATCCTTGCTACAAGCGTGAGCAGTACGATATAGCGCGGCTCAGACTTTGTCTTGCAAATCACAGACACTGCATACCCATTCAGGCCTTGTTGCCCCACATCATAGTCGTATGAGGCGCACATGCCTCTGACAGTGGCGAGTTGATTATGCTGATGTTGGCTCTCAGCTATAGCGTCGCACAGAGATATAGGTCCCTGATTTTACTACGAAGCGTAGTCGGATACCAGCAAGTCGAATTTGATTGATAACCTCTCGCCTACTTAGATCGGGGCAGCTTCATGGTGGTGTTTTAAGGGCGGACAAGGGCTTACAAGACCATTCATGGAGAATGTAACTATGAGACATGTACTACGCAACTTAAAGCGAACTCAACGAGTAGCTCCTGTACCGCGGTCTCTGTGAAAAATTTGATAGCCACCTTTCGTAACGAAATTAGTCTGTTTCGCCTGAATTTCTATTTGTGGGTGGTCATCGATTGACGTTTTCAATAGGGTGCCGAGCATTTTGAATAATTATAGGCCAGAACTTCGCTGTAAAGCGCGAATTTTAATTTGATACAATGACTACCCGCAAGCGATGTAGGCAAACCATTCTGTCAATGAATAGATTAGCTATGCCCTTACCAGTCATACCGCCGACCGCATCGAGTCGCTGCTTAACTTTAGAGATCGATCAGATAGTCAAGCCATACCGGTATAACTGGACGCATCTCAAATTTACTGAAGTGGATTCCATACTAATGGACTGACAGCACTCTGCTGGGATCAGCAAGACGGCCAAAGCTGCTATTACATACGGCTCTGATTTTATCCATTGACCCGTCGTACACGTGCGCACATATGTACTTAGCCACTTGTATTTGTTGGGTCATCTAACAAGAACTCACCGAACAGTACGACTTATCTCTTCCGAGGTGGCCACTTATAAGGGATATTTGTGTCTCGTACATGATCCTGTACTTGAAATCCTTGATTGTATGGCGCCACCTCACGCTAGGAGTCGTGTGGGTCGGTGTTGTTATACAGCAAACCATGGGATCGTACGCTATTGCAACATTTGAGACATCAAAAATTTTGATTTCAAAGCTTCTAGCAACGCAACATATGTTTCATCTGACCCATACGGCTTAGGTGTCAGCATTGTGGCATGCGACAAGTCATAGTTTGGCCGACGCGAGAGCGCACTCGCCACCGCATTAAACCGGCCGACTTATAAGTTACCTTAAAGGTGTATACAGGAAAGAAAGGTGACTTTCTTGCCATTCTGTGTGATACAGGTGGCGACGACGTCGCAGTACACAACCGCGCCAGATCTGTCTGGATCACAAACGGCTTAGAGCCAAGCAGGTACCTCTTGAGGCTGCCGAGGGCATACTTCATTGCAACCTCTTCTCTGATGCCACCGGTAATAAAGCGTGATCATGTTTGTCTTGCCAAACATGATCACGCTTTATTACCGGTGGCATCTTCCTGATGTATAACGCAACCTATTGCAAACGAAGCATCAAAGTCGTGGAATAGCTCTGGATTTGTAAGAGCCATATTTAGTGCAGCGTGTGAGTCTTTCCTTACAGCGTTAAAGGCTGCCTCTTCCGCCACATCCACCCTATCGTATGACATACAATTTAAAAAGATTAAGCTTGTTAATATACATACACTCAAGCGTCGCTCGCAAGGATGTCCAAACTTGATTTCCTGGACGCTGCACGACTATGTACGGATATATCGTCGAGATGGGTTGTGCATAGGCACTTTGTAGCCTGATTAGCTGCGTTACCAGATGATAGCCGACGCTGGTGCCTAGTCTCTGTAGTATAACCGGTCACTACCAGATCATCTACCCTGACTTTTCATCGCATTGAGCGGGATATCGCTATCTCTCATCAGCAGTTGATAATATCCACCAACCTGGCCGTGTTAGAAAGCAACCCATACTATACTGCAGCACAACATTGGCGTTTGCACCACAAGTGTTGCTGCATTCAGCTTATTCATGCATGAACAACTTGCCATTTGCCATTAGCCTATCTGACTCAAAAGATTGGCGGCGAGTGTGAATATATCACTGCTATCACCAAACCTGCTTTGAACTTTGCACGCAAGAAAGCGTCGATGACAACATGCTGTTCCATTGATAAAAGTCATTGCCATATGACGCAAATTTTGTTCTGGGAACCAATTCAGCTTTACAGTCCAATCATCAACTCGGAACTAACACGCGCGCAACAGTACAAGCTCGCAATATTATAGCACTTGCCCCATTACAAACAATCTCTTCGTGAAATCGGTATTGTTTCACGGATGAGTCATTTGGTATGCTAGCAGTTTGCAGTTGACAAACCTGTACAGTATAGTCAACTTAATGCGACAACATCTGGAATTCAATGGCATGATGATCACGGATTAAAAGGTTGTCAGCAAATTTAAGGGCATCACATTGGGGAGAAGCCAAAAATTAGCGGTCAGTGTATTCGTCGCCTCGGATCATTACTGTCTGTAGGTCAAGTTTCGGCACTAAAGTAAACGAAACGACCATTTTCAACGTCGAATTTGCTGTCGTTGTCAGTTCGGGAGAGGCCAGAACAGCCTTTTTGAATGAAGCTGACTGTTTTGTCGAACTATGTAAACCAAAAATTCAGCAGCAAACTCAGATAAAATACCAAACTATTGTTATGTCGCAAATTTTTAAAAAAAATGCGACATATCTTAAGAAACTTGTTTCAAGTCAGCGAAATACGAGAAGAAAATCAGGAATGTATATCCAAGCTTTAAGGAAGTTACCCACTAATATTGCATTAAGATGATAGTCTCTAGTTTGGGTTAGTGAATGATCAATAAGTATACTACCACACCTAAGAGCTATCAAATTGCAATGGAGCCACCTGCAGACAAATAAAGAAAGCTCTTTAGTCAAAAGCAAGTAAACATCATCTTTTTGAGGTTCTGTAACTGCTACTAATGTCTTTCGTTCGATTCCACCGCTGTGCCGCTACTTAAGGGATGTATAGGTTTCGTCAAGAACCACTCGTGTTGTAATGCATCTTGTGCAGTAAGCCGGCGGGTCGGATCTTTCCTAAGCAAGCCACGCAGCAAGGCTTTCCCTTCGGGGGACACACTTTCCCAGATGGGATCCGACTCGAGGTTTATTTCAGCGTGCAAAGTTTTCTGAATGACTTCGTTCTTTGCCTTGCCGTAAAATGGAAGTTCACCGCGAAGAAGGAGATACATGATGACTCCAAGAGACCAGATATCGGCTTCACGACCATATCCAACAAGTGCAAGCACCTCCGGAGCTACATAATTAAGTGTTCCACACGGCATTTTCATAAGCTCCTCTGGATGTACCAGTTTTGACAGTCCAAAGTCTGCAATAGTTAGGTCTGCCAACGTCTCGCCACACAATATGTTTTCAGGCTTGAGATCTCGATGAACGATACCCAATCGATGCAAATAGTTAACACTTTCAAGTAGTGGACGCATCACAAGCCGGGCTTCAGCTTCGTTATATCTCGCTCGACCAACAATACGGTTGAAAAGTTCGCCACCTGTTACGAGTTCTGTGACGATAAAAATGTGCTGACGATTCTCATACACGTCATTAAGTCGGATGATATTTGGATGGTTCACAAGTTTCAAAATGGCAATCTCAGTACGCAAAAGCTCCTTTTCCGTGGGTTGTAGCTTGCTCTTATCAATAATTTTCACCGCTGATCTGACTCCTGTGCGCTTGTGTGTTGCCTCACACACCTTCGAAAACCGCCCACGACCAAGTTGTGCCCCGACGTTATAAACTTCCTCAATTGAGACTTTGTCAGTTGCTTGACGAAGTGCTGCAGCCCATCTTTTCTGAGCTTCAATGGAGCGTGCAAACACAGTGCGTTTCTCCCGTGAGCTACCAGGTTCTGGGACGATATCGATTCCAAAATAGTGCAGACCTTTTTCAATAATTTTATCCTGCGCAGAATGCACTTCCACGTAGCAGTCGCTTAAGAACATCACTCCCCTTGGTGCCGTATCATCTGGAAAACTACATCACAATGATCAATTTAACACGTAGGCCTAAGTCGATTTTGACGAAGGTCTGAAACGTACGCGTAATAATAAAGAAAGTTGCCTTGCAACACAAAGTAGCGCTTCGTCATCTTACGTAGGCGCAAGCCTCGCTTCCACAAGTCTCCGGAGACACTGGGAGAGTCTTCAACCACTAGCACTCCTGGCATCTCATCTAGCGCTTGTGATGGCGTCGGGCTTTCATTAGAGCTTGTGAAGGAGCCACATCTCGAGCCTGATGCAGTAGTTTCCGAGCTCCCTGTAGAAAGTAAAAGCAGGCGATCCACTTCGGACAGCGCTGTTTGAATCTTGGACGTAACAGTCTTGATAGATGACACATGTTTAGCTTCTTGCAATAGGTTTCGTATCTTCTCTAATTCTTTACGATTTGATGACTCCGAGGATGGTATTGTATTTGCCTTCGCAGCACTTCGACTGAGAAATTCAAATAGTGACAACGTCAAAGATGAGACGATTTCGAGTGCTCGCTGGACGTACTTAATTTGAAAATTAGCAAAAGAGGTGTGCCTCTTTCGCAGTTCATTGTAATCCCCGATATTAAGACTTCCAGACTGCAGTTTTGACCTGACACATACTCTATGTTAGATGTCAACAACTATTTTTATTGTCGGCACACGATGTACCCGTCGACTAAAGTGACAGGAGCCACATTACTTCCACTGGAACTGAAGCTATCTTCCTTATTTGCGTGATCTTCCAAAGGTAAAACACTCATGAGAAACTGGATTACATGAGCAGATATCAGCATACACTATGTCATGATAAAGGAACCAAAGCGCACATTGGTAACTCCAGGAGTGTTTTCACACCAGTGACTGAACTGCTCAAAGCTAAGTCGTGTCGTAGAAACAGAAGAAGATGGAAATGCTAGATCCACCAAAGCTTCAATCTCTTCCATCTAAATCAGCAATCAGAAAAAACACTTCCTTTGTAAGGCGGGAGTCGAGCATGCTATCACTTGCACGCACAACTTTTACTGAAGTGGACAATTCAGGCAAATTAGTGGCATCTTCAAGATCACTCTTCGGCTTGATGAGCTCCAACGCCGACTCAGGGAACTGATACAGCATAGTCAAAAGCTCGTGACGAGAAATGGAATTAGCTCTAGACAGCACTCACAATTCAGTGGTATAATCAACATAGATCACAACAACATACTCGCTAAGATCGTAGAGATCGAAAATGAACTTTAATTTTTCCTTTCGTGACCCTCGAAACATTATTGCGAGACCGTAGACAAAATCATTGTAGTGAATAGAGCCGGCACCGTCCTTGTCAATCACCTCAAACAAGCGTTCACCGAGTAAACCACGCATAGGAAAGCACTTGAGAAAGGTCTCTTTGTCTACGCTGAGGCCATCTTTCCCATTCGCCAAGCCCTTAAAGGTTTCTCGAAGCAGTCGAATCTCTTCGTCTCCAAAACGTTTCATGGCCTCGCGCTCCTCTGAGGACAAGCGACGCCCCGAAAAATCCCGAGACAAAGGTAAGTTGCCCATGGTTCAAGAGGCTTTGAATGCAAGATGGAAAATAACTGTAAGGGCAAACCAACAATAGCTTAGTCAGTTTTGGCTGGGTTCTCTCTGAATATTATTTGGCGTGCATCCATTAATCATTTAGCATCGATAACAACGTCAGACTTATACAGGAATGGATTACTACGCTAACAAATAATCTCAAGCGACCTATAGACAAGCAGAGTTGATTAACAACGAGGTCTATTTTGCGCAATTGACAAATCGCTTTCGAGTCTCTTTCATGAGTCTGACAAGAAGTGCCATAATCTCAAAAGTAATTATTCGAATTTCAAGCATCCTACATCTTATGTGGACCTTGCACAACTAACATACGTGTAAGCGTGTCGTTCCTTGTTCTCGACTCGACGATGAGACGCTATTTTGCATCGGATTGGATATCTGACACAATATACACCAATTGATTCTCCAGCTGACTAGTAGCATTGTCGTTGTCTTTCTCTTCAGTGTCAGCGTTGTCCATTATGATGCCAAGCTCTGTTGTCGCAGTTGGCGATGTTGATGCCTCCTCTTTCTCAGGTTTTGTTGTAACACTAGGATCTTCAGTGCCGTTGATTGTCGGCTTACTCTTTTTAGAAGGGGTATCGCAAAGATAGAGAGAACGATCACCTCGAGATTCCACGCTCCGCAACACACGCGATCGCTGCTCGATTGCCCGACGGAGCAATGAAAGGTCACCATGGTGCCAAAGTTTAGTTCGAACCCTGTCAATGATTGCGTCGGGATGAAAAAAAGCTACCTCTTCCTGAAGGCGAATGCATTCTTCTTCTCTGATAGTCAGTTGTTTTTTTAACTTGCCTATTTTTTCACTAAGCTCACTGATTTCCGCCCTCAATATTGCATCACTTTCCGCCAAGACGTTTGTTAGTTCGCTTATCTTTTCCGACACAAGTTGAGGGGATTCCGAGATTTCCTGGGCCTTGCGCTTAAAGTCTTTGCGCTCCATCATAGAAACTGCAGTGCTCGTTGGAAATGCAGAAAAACGTGCGAGGTGTGGTGACATAATGTTTGAACAATTTGAAAGTTTCAGATATTTGACGGATAGCGATGACTCCCAGCATTCTGCTAAGGTGAGACGTGTGGACTTAAAGGGTTAGATTAAGTATATAGAGCAGCTTGCTGCAATATTGATCGCTGCGAACCATGACAAAAAAATATCAATCGAATGTTAAGCCGCCATCAACAGACAAAGGCTCGAACCTCGGTTTCCTATTTTTCTATATCAAAGCCGCTAAAGGGCATCCGAATTTAAGGAGCAGCCTGCGACGGTAAGAAAAACTGCAATTATTATAGGGCGAAACATTGCAAAATCTTGACTTTGGGCTTAAATATGTGGACCACCTCAATAGAGGGTGACCACATTAAGCTTTCCTATCAATCCGCATCCTGGCGTCGCTCATGCACCTCCTGAACCTAACACTGCAGCCACCCACGGCCGTGCATTTGGCCGTGTATGGTAATTTCTCGGCCCCTCAGGCTCAAGAATTTTTGGTGGCACGTGGTGATGTGCTGCAGCTGCTTCGCCCCGATGAGGCTGGTCGTCTGGAAGTTATCATCTCGACACAAGTATTTGGGGTTGTGCGCGCTCTTCAGCCCTTTCGACTCACAGGAGGCGACCGGGACTTCTTTGTGATTGGCTCCGACTCAGGAAAGATTGTTGTTCTTGAGGTTAACCCTACTGCTAGTCGGTTTGAGGCCCGACAAAGCGAAGCTTACGGTAAAACGGGCTGCAGACGCATCACTCCAGGTCAGTACTTGGCAGCCGATCCTAAGGGCCGCGCTGTGCTTATTGGAGCCGTGGAAAAGCAGCAGCTAGTTTATGTCATGAACCGCGATGCATCTAGTCGTCTTACAATCTCATCACCATTGGAAGCTCATCGCTCAAACGCCATCCACTTGGGCGTCGTAGGGCTCGACGTGGGCTTTGAAAATCCCATTTTCGCCTGCTTAGAACTGGACTACGCTGATGCAGATGCTGATCCCAGTGGCCAAGCAGCCAGAGAGGCCGTGAAGACGCTTGTGTGCTATGAACTGGATCTAGGACTCAATCATGTAACCAGACGTTGGAGTGAACAGGTCGTTAGGAGTGCTAATATGCTTGTGGCTATCCCTGGGGGAGGTGATGGACCGGGAGGAGTGTTGGTACTTGGACAGAATGTGGTACAATACAAGAACGAAGGCCAACCCGAATTGACATGCGCTATTCCACGCCGAGCTGGAGAACATCGAGATATTATTATTGTCTCGTCAGCTACGCACAAGCAAAGAGACCTCTTTTTCGTGCTATTGCAGTCTGAATTAGGAGATTTATACAAAATCTCGCTCGAGTATTCGGGTAACACAGTCGATGAGATCAAAATTCAATTTTTCGACACAGTGCCTGTGGCATCGTCCTTGTGTATTACTAAGACCGGATTACTTTTTTGTGCGTCCGAGTTTTCGAATCACTATTTATTTCAATTTTTAAGTATCGGTGAGGGAGATAATACAGCCAAGTGCTCAAGCTTGGCCATGGATCCGGCCGAATTCCCGACATTCTCGCTGAGAAAACTGACAAATTTGGCTTTGGCTAGCTCATCTCCTAGCTTGAGCCCAGTAACGCAATTGCTGGTGGATGATTTAGCGAACGAACAAACTCCGCAAATATATGCGTTTTGTGGTAACAGTAATCGTTCATCACTACGTGTGCTACGTCATGGCCTTCCGATCACAGAGATGGCGGCTAGTGCGCTTCCGGGTGTTGCTAAGGCAGTGTGGTGCTTAAAAGAGTCGTATTCCGACCAACATGATAAGTACATTGTTGTAAGTTTCGAAGATGCAACTTTGGTGCTTGAAGTAGGCGAAAGTGTCGAGGAGGTGGCTCAGTCTGGTTTTCTACGCGACCATGGTTCATTGTTAGTGGCTTTGCTGGAAGATGATTCGAAGCTACAAATTCACACAAATGGTATTAGGCATATCCCCAAGTTCCAGTCTGTAACTGAATGGAAGGCGCCCGGTAAGAAGGTAATCGAGCACTGCGCTGCGAATTCCCGCCAAGTTGTAATTTCGCTCGCTGGTGGTGAGATAATTTACTTTGAGCTGGGCCAGTCAGGTGAGCTCGCAGAAAAGGGTAAACTAGATCTCGGCTTTGAAGTATGCAGTTTGGATTTAGGAGAAGTTCCAGAGGGTCGTCAGCGCTTTCAATTTATGGCGGTAGGAAGTTGGGATAACACAGTCCGTGTTCTATCGCTAGACCCAAACGAGCTGTTCCGACAAAAATCAACATTAGCCTTGACGTCACATCCTCACACGCTCTGCCTCGCCCAGCTGCAGAGCGAACCTGCAGCTCCTGACTCAGAGCACTCGTCGCAAGCGCTATATTTGAGCATCGGTCTCGATAATGGTGTTTTGCAGCAATCTCTTGTTGATCCCATCACAGCCGCTTTGACGGATTCTCGCTCCCGCTTTCTTGGAACAAATCCTGTAAAACTGTTTCGGGTGTTTGTAGAAGGAAAGCGCTCTATTCTTGCCCTTTCTAGTCGTTCATGGATTTCATACTTTTATCAAACGCGGAGACATATCACCCCACTGTCGTGCGAGTTTCTTACCTATGCGAGTTCTTTTGACACTGAGCAGTGTCCCGGTGGAATTGTCGCATTGACGAATGAAGGCATGAAGATCTTGACAATTGATCAGCTTGGTGACACATTTAATCAGCAAAAATGTAATTTGCGCTACACCCCGCGCAAAGCGGTAGTACACTTACCTTCACGACGACTTGTCGTGGTTGAAAGTGATCACAATGAATACGGGGCTGCTTACAAAAGACAGCATGGATTGCAAATTCCTGATATTCATAGTACTGCCGAAGAAGAGGATGAAGCAGAGGAAGAAATTAACGACGCACTTTTGTTCCCACGCGGTCCACTTCCTGCTGAGAATGATACGTGGGCTTCTTGCATTCGTATAATTGATCCCATATCATTTCAGACAGTGGTGTGCGAAGAATTAGATGTCAATGAACATGCCCGCAGCATTGCTACTTGCGTGTTCCACGACCGGGGCGGCGAAGCCTTTTTTATTGTAGGAACCGTGAAAAAATTGCAGTTGCATCCTCAAAAGGCGGTCGCAGGAGGTTGTTTACGTGTCTACCGTCTCGTTGAAGGAATGCAGCTGGTGCTTGTGCACACAACCGAAATTGATGACATTCCACACGCTATGTGCGAGTTTCAGGGTCGTCTGCTTGTCTCTGTCGGACGAGCTCTTCGAATTTACGACCTGGGAAAGAAAAAGATGTTGCGCAAGTGCGAAAATCGCAACTTCCCTTCCATTTTAGTAGAGCTGAAGGCTCTTGGCGATCGGATTTACGCCTCAGATATGCACGAGTCTTTTCATTTTGTAAAATACAAAAAAGATGAAAACCAGTTGGTGATATTTGCCGATGACTGTGTGCCGCGCTTTATCACTAGCAGCGTCTTGCTGGATTACGACACGTTATGCGGAGCAGACAAGTTTGGCAACATTTTTATCTCTCGACTTCCGTCCGAGGTCTCGGACGAGATTGATAACCCTACGGGCAATCGAATTCTCTGGGACTCTGGTCTTCTCAATGGCGCCCCCAACAAGCTTGAGCAGGTGGCACAATTCCACGTAGGTGATGTCGTAACTAGCATGGTGCGCACAACCTTGGTTCCTGGCGGAAGTGAAGCAATAATCTATGCGACTATCATGGGCCGCATTGGTGTTCTCATTCCATTTACCTCGCGTGAAGATGTGGACTTTTATAGCCACTTGGAAATGTACATGCGCCAGGAACAGCCCCCGCTTTGCGGCCGCGACCACCTGTCGTATCGGTCGTATTACATTCCGGTGAAAAATATCACTGACGGTGATTTATGCGAGCAATTTAGTACTTTGAGTGTGGAAAAGCAGGCGAGAGTGGCTGAAGATCTCGACCGAACGCCCGCTGAGGTACTGAAAAAACTTGAGGATATTCGCAACCGTCTTCTATAAGATGACTAGAGTTAAATGAAATAGGGCTACGAAACTGGGCAGTTGTCAGCACTCACACCAATATCAAACAGTAACGATGTAAGAAAATTACAGTTGTTCATTGTCAAGTCGGTCAAGGCGGCGCGACACCTTCAGGAAGCCGCATATTTAGATCGGTGCCATCGGGGAAGAGAAGTCTTACTGTCTCCAGATAAACTTCCTGCAACACGGCTACTCGTGGCCGAAACGTCTACACAGCTCAAATCTCAATATCACATCCATATATTCGAATCGTATGACTCGATTGTGTTTCACTCACCTGGAACGGCAACACCATCTCACTCTGTCCTTCTACCATAAGTACTAGCGAGTACACAACGCTGGAAAATGTGATTGCCTCATTCACCGCCACACCGCTTATTGTCTCTAAATCGACAAACTTCTGCCGGAGTCAGCAGTGAAATAACCGTATGCTTCTTTTAATCTTACCTTGCTATGCACTACTCCACTGCGTCGCCTCGTGCTTAGCTTTACTCCAAGCGCTGGGACGACCAGCATCGATTCTATATAATTACAAAGATATATAATCCATTTTTGATACACTTATTTAGAGAATTGCGCGTCGTACCTTCGACTATAACGCTGCCCGAAACTTGATAAAGCCATACGGCCAATGCAGGTAATAGCAATCCCAATAATACTCGAAATGGCGATGATACACCCAGCTCAACACTCTTTAAGACCCAACCAGAGATGAGGCATAATATGACGATCAACCACCACGTAAGGATCCATCTTCTTTCGTCAGAATCAAGTACATATAACGAGAACTCGATGCCTTGCTGTCCATAAGCCCGCACTCGCAACACTACTTCATTTGCTTGCGACATAATATGTGTGCAAGATAACATCGTTTTGATGTCACCCACATCAAATAATCAATGTTAAGAAGTTCAAAGTGAGGTCGCATCGAGCAGGCCGACAAATGACATCAAAAACCCAGTTGCAAAAATCTATAACACGAGGCTAGCTACTGAGACTAGTACTTTACAGATGTCTCTCGGGTGACGTTGAAATGCCAGTTTAAAAACTATACTAAGAGCGATAACTATGACAATGACCTGTTAAGCACTGTCAATGAGTATAAAAGCATATCCAATGACGCCAGACATTTGTGTTGTCAATTTTTATCAAAAAGAAGGAAGGAACGCATGCAGATTGACAAAAGGATCAAAGCTCATATTGGCTTGCCTGTGTTCTCGATATTTACCGGCTGCACTGCTACGTCTGTCTACGTTGACTCCTACACAGAAAACACAAAAAGCTATTCCTACCGTTTGTCTTGATTTGGGTGACGTATTGGTCTTAAGATACCCAGCAAGAAGGGTTATGCATGTTTTGACTACAGTATATAGCGTCACTGTAATAGGGTGCTATTCACAAACAGTACCTGCCACACAACACACATGCTAGTGCGACGAGGAAGCGATTATCAACGAGAAGGGAGAAGGACCATTCCGACTTGAAGGAAAGAAGAACGACTTAAGACCTTGATGAAGGATTTGCGAGCAAATCGAAGTTAATGGTTCCTAGCTACATACAATACAACCCAAGGGCTCCTAAAGGTTTTACTGACTCAACCTTGGGCTCCTGATATATAAATCAAGGGTGTTCTGAGGTTGAAACTCAGCTTTAACATAAACAAGATCTTGGGTGTACAAAGCTTAAACTGCAAGTGTTCGAACTTCAACTCGTAGAAAGGTACCAGTCACTTCGAAAGACAGAGACACGTCGGTGTCGTCACCAGTACAGATCTCCAAATAGGAACCAATATTCTGTATCGTAGAGAATGTTTGTGCTGCGTATAAGATGTTACGTTATCATTTAGGAACATCAAACCGTAATCTTCATTTTATTAACTCCCATAACAGAAGGTACCTTTATGTGATGGCTAAGTGTAGCTCATTACACCATCAATTCCATAAAGTCGAAAGTGATTTGATGCTTTTGCAGACTATCTGAAGCTGTTCACTATCCGATCAACAATGAAGCAATCAAGTGAACAAGCCAAGATTAAAGGGCGAATTTCGCCCTCACTGCAAAGAAGTTTCCAGAACTCTTTGACGTTTCATTCAATCCCACCCGAAATGGAGACAAGAATTTCTACATGAAACGTTTCTTTCGTTGGAGTCAGATCAACAATCATGGCGATCCGACCCGGCCTGTCGCAGCAAAGCTTGACTCTTGACGGACGTTTGTTTTCCTTGAGAGCGAGAGCAAGATGGAGCATCTGCTTCGACGAGTCAGCGCTGGCAGGACTCCCAGTCAAGACTGAGCACAATCAAGCTCTGGTCTTCGTGGTGTTGCCTCTAACAACACTACAAGCGATTCTCGTAGCTGCGGACCACGTCGGGACATCAGACCAGAGCGTCTGAAGAGGTTCACACGTGTGTGAGTTCGATGGATAGTCGCGCCACAAACTCTGTAGAAGTGTTGATGGTTCAGCTGCTTCCATTTACTATAACCAGTCAATCGATCCTCGTGGACAACAATCGTCTCGACCACCCATCGACGCTCTCCACGAGAGTCTGAGAGCGGAGCTAGGGTTGAACGTGAAAAGGATTGAAGGACTTTGGAAGTGGAAAAGCGCTCATCGCGGGCAAATTAAGGTATCGCAGCAGCGTTGCTTGACGCGTGAAGGTCGCTGCGGTAGCCTTCAATCCCTGTTGCAAAGCAGAACTTAAAACTTGACGGTCTGACTGGGGGTTCACCCAATGCTCGAGTTGGAGTTCTGTTTTGAACTACGGTTTCAACAGGTTCATGATGAACTTATTCGACTCCGGAAGGACGAGAATTCTCGTGAGTTGGCCCGCGAACACCTGTTGCGCTCTGTTGGAGAGGCCGGTTCGGTTTTCGTAATACTCGCGGTGAGTACCATTCTCCGTTTAAAGATTTGTAAACCAGAAAAGGATATTTTTTATGTTCTTCAACGCTTGAACGCCAGGACGAATCTTCCGGGTGAAAAGCTGATAGCTCTTCGTGAACAAATCAAGAAACTTCATGATCAGACCGATCATCTGATGTAGGTATAGCAGAATCGGCAGATCCACTCGTAAGATACGAATCTAGCCTACCCACATACGTGTAGGATGCAGGCACATGCGTGTAGGGATGGCTTATGCATACGCATCACTATTGCATCTTAGCACTAAGAAAAATCCAATGAATTTTGGCAGAAGTTCCTCCTTTCAAAGTTGGACACTAAATGTTCAAGCAGATTTGTTGTGCTAAGTAGTACAAGACCCTTGATCTTTTATATACGTTCTTGTTCTTTCCTCTGCTATTATATGCTTCTTCTTTTTGCAGTTCCTGATCTACCGCAATTGCGTCTTGAACAAACCAAACAACAGCTTGTCTCCTTACAATCAAGTCATGTGTTGTTTTTTACGACTTGTCATGTCGTCTAGAAGTCTCATCGAATCAAAATTTGCTTCTAGCTCTGTTAAAGCGTTTAGGTCTGACTGTGGCTCTATAGCCAAAGTTCCCTTTTAGGGTAAACCTTGCCCATGATGAAGGCCAGATCTCTAAGATTATTACTATAGTTCACATAAAGTGACGATTGACCTGTTGAGACATGCGTGGATTTGTTCAACGCAAACACTGCAGTAGGGAGAAATCCACCTCATGCTACAAACGACGTAGCGTAACTACGCAGTACGTCTTCCAGGACTCGATCCGCACGCCTAATAGTCCAAACAGTGCACGCCAAAGTTCGACGTGAAACACGTGTCACGGTCAGACACGATCGCATCATGAAGGTCATGAAGACAGAAAATGACGTCAACAAAGACCTTATTATTTTCGTGGCCGAGAACTTATCCGAAACAGGCGCAAGATGAATAATCATGTTTGGATCGGTCTACTAACACAAAGATGCCACTGCATCTATGTGTGTCACGCGAAAGTCCGAATACTCACAAACTTCCAGCTGTCAGTGGGCACTGCCCACTGCCAAAGTGGGGCCTGAGTGGAACTCGATGGTTCTATTTTCTGGCAAGTTTCACAAATCGTCACATACTTGCACATCCACTTATACATGGGTGGCCAAAGAATCCCTGAAAAGACTGAGAATCGTTTTCCCATGTCTTAGAAAGCAATCTGAAGGGCTGTCATGGTACTCATATAATAGACGATGACGCAAACCTTCGTGATTTGAAACAACAAATCTTGCAGTATTCCCGTGTTCAATCGGATAGTGCAGCAATACATTGTGCTCTCCAGAACGGTGAAAACGCGATTATGTGTGAGACGGAAGACCTTGTAGTGCTTTGTTGGAAGGGTCTTAGAAATTTCCTCGACAACTCATGACATGTCTCATAAGACTTGTACCCTTCGAGAATTTCTTCGTGCATTGTGGTCGTTGTTTGCACACTGACCATCTGAACATCTTCGCATTGCCGACATGACTCGTGCTACTTTCGGTCCTGGACCTTCGGTCATAGTCCGGACGTCTTGACGACGCATTGGCTAAGATGTTCGTCTTGCCTTACAACAAAGCTGTACTCCGCAAATAAGAAAACCATCGTGTTATTCTCTGAGATGAATATGGAGTCTTTACTGCCGCACGCAGCGAGGCATGTTCTATATAGATCGCTAAGCGCTTCTCTTTAATCAAGTACGCACGTACCTTACCCAAAGCAGACGCCATTGCTAGAGGCTCGTTGTCATGAACTGGATAGTTCCGTTTTGTGTGTCGGAGTTGTCGCGATCGATACAAAAGAACTCGCTCTCGACCCTTATCATAGTGTTGCATCAACCACAATCGATGTCATAATCACTTGCATCGCAGATCTCATGAAAAGGCATCTCGTGGCTTGCAATCGCAAGAAAGGAGCTTCTCTCAGGCTCTTTATCATTTCGGCAAATACCGCCTGGTGATATTTTTACCATCCCCATTCAACATTCGTCTTTAAAATTTTTGTCGGGGGTCGCACCAACGCTGCATAATTGCGCGTGTATTGTTGGCCAATGCCAACTATTGTTTCAGCAGTTTTGCATTGTTTGGCACAGGCCCATAATTGAAAGCTTTGACTTCCTCCGGACCTTCTTGAACGCCGCTCTCACCCAAAAAGCAGCCGAGAACGTGGATCGTAGGTGCAAAGAAAACGCACTTTTTGACGAGCGCAGAGTATATTATCTCGCATAACTTGGAAGACTTGACGAAGATGATAAAGATGTACACCGACATCCAACTTCTAATCCATTTTCTTACTGTGAAAGAATATATCGTCAAAGTATCCCTTGTGACTTCTCTCTGTGGACGAAGACGATTCTTGATCATTCTGTTGAAAGCCGCGGGAGCGTTCTTCAAACTTTGTAGCATCACTAACCATTCCCACAGCATACCGATGGGGGACGCTGACAGCTGTTAGTATTGTATCATTTTCGCGCATTCGTATCTGATAAAAACCATCTTTCAGATCGACCGCACTAAGAACAATACTCTCGAGCATGTCATCAAGAATTATATGCTTGCGTGGAACAGGAGTCTAGTCGTATCGTTCAATTTGTTGAAGGCGTGAAGAATGCACCAACTACCTGTGGCTTACTTTACACAGAAGGCAGAGACTTGCTCAAACGCACAAAGAACTCGTTTTTTGCAACGATTGGTTTTTGCCAACGGCCACTGCCGTTTAATACATTACTTTGTACCAAAACATATGTCAGTTTCATGTCAAATGCCTCTGTCAGATGGCAATACGTCGGAAACTGTGTCTGAAAATATATCAGCATTTTCACTGACAAGTCGATACATGGGGTTTGTTCTAAGAGCCTTTCACGGCTGCTCATCGAACTCTCCTCATCAAATACTCCCGCAGTATTGATGTCATTGTCGATAGCTTCTTTGACGATCGCGCATATTGCATAATTCTTCATTTTGCCTGGCCACGCTTCAATTTTTCATGCTGCTCAAGGGCAAGGAAAAAGATTTTATGACTGAACTCGGAGGAATTTTTACTTCACGTGGCGGATAACATCAACGTCAACTTCTTCGTTGTAGGCTACAACATCGCTCGAAGTGTCTTATTCTTGATCACTCCATCAAAACATCTTGTACCTTAATCAAGGGCACGCAAACTACTTGACGGAAAACTTTTCTTGGTTCTTCTCTCGAGTTGGGTCTTTGCCTGTGATTCCAATATTCTTCATACGATCATCAACCATACCTTCCATGTTGAAGGCAAAGGAGACAGTCTTTCTGGCGCATGACAGCTCCACCTCCAGCTGGTGTTACTAATCTGGTCTTCTTGGGCTTGTCCTGTGAACATGGGAGGCCACCGCACACCACAATATCACTTGGGACATAAGGATGCATAAGTCCATACCATTTTGTTCGTCGTCATGCAGCCCAAATTAGCGCTGCATGACTTGTTGAAGGCGATCTTCATATTCATCCGGTCAATGCTAGGTTGGTACACGCTTGAACCATGGCATACATAGGATGATTTCAGACTTTTCATCGCGGTCGAGTATGATTAATTCATCTTCACCTCGGAAAGCTTTTAAACTCCCGAATGAATTGCTTCGGTATCTTCATTCTCTATCTATTCGCAAATGAGCAATCGTTTCTTCTTTCACATTGCGTAGGCTAATAACACTATACCTAGTCGCAACTTGCACACGAAGTTGTTTGACGCCACTGTTAATCAACCTCATAGTGATTTCTAGAAAACATCTACAATGACTTTTTGGACAGTCAAAGTCGCACTTTGCCTGACACTACTATCGCTCATAGTGGAAACTGCATGTGCACCATGCATGTTGGGGCAGAGTTCCGTGTATCCATAGCATCCACATTACTCTTCTCAGGCCTAGTAATACCCTGCTCCTACTGGCTTTCGATTTTTTATGCCTTTATAGCGTCCGCGGTTATCCGAATAAGCACCCTGTGTCTGCTGCCGATCCGGAAAAGACACTCTGCGTTTCTGAGGAATATGACTCGGCTTCCTACAACGAAAACACTTTCCATCGTTGCGAGGGCGCTCATTTCCAGGCGTGAAAATGTACGAGATGTTCATTGGTTCTGAACCATCACTTGTGCCAGTCGACCGACGCGCTTGCCTTGGTACGAAGCCATTGAGCATTTCTTGCTTGATGCTGAGCTTTTCTTGCATCGCAAGGTTGATGGCATCGTCCAGCGTCTTTGGATAATCATGGACTAGCTGATTCCGGCATTTTAAATTGCCATGAATATTCCAACTTGCGTTGATTAGTCAATTGGCTAGTCGATAATGCTGATAACCAAGGAGCTAGCACGCTGTTCATACGAGTGTAGGTCATGACGACCATGACGAAGCTTCAAGAAATCGGCACGAGCACGGAACTCACTCGGTGACGGCTCGAACGCCTTCTATAGCTCGACACTCAAGTGGTCGTGGCTGGGAATGTTGTTGAGATCAGCTAAACGCATACCATACGCCCAACCCATCGCACGACCGTCAAGGTTGGACATCGCAAACAACACTTGCTTTAAAGGCAGTTGTCTTGCAGTGATTGCTTCATTTAACTCGACAACCATCGTCACAGAAGTTCGTTCTTTCACCACGGTACACAGACAATTTTAGCTTCAAAGGCATCGTTCTGTATGATGAAGCAGGAATTGCGACCCGCTTCTGAGATTTCATAATCTCAGTATGCATGAAAACGACGGCCGGATTCTTCCGATCATCCCGGGAATGTGACTGCAGTAAGGTGACTACAGTAGCTCCTCCAATGACTTCATACATCCGTTTGGGTGCCATCCAATCATGTGAAGACAATTGAAGAAACCTTTTATTCCTCAATACCTCCTTTTGCGGTATTGATAGACCGAGTGGTTCCACAACTCCATCTATGTCGCTAAGACAAGGACAAGAGTATGGCTTGACATAAAACGCGTGACGTGTTCTGAAGCCGCATCGTCGAACCAAAGTTGCAGCGGGGCTGCCGTAGCAAACGCTTGAGGAAGCATACTTTAGGCCACCGAACTTTTGTTCTTTGCAAGAACCAAGTGTGAGTTAGCGGATCGCAATCCGCTTACTCCAAGAGTAATTATTGCATTCTCAAGGCTAATTGACTCTTCTGTTCGAATTCAAAACTGATTACAATTTATTTTCTTATTCTAATTTTAAATCCTAGATACTATATATTTATATAAAGTAAAATCTAAATACATGCATAACTACTGGCTACCTAGCCCCGTACCGTATTCTTGTTTGGGTGTGGTCACACCATGCACATCTCGTGTGAGACACACACCCCTGTTACCAGGGTACGTGTAACCCCGTTGAAAAATTTGAAATCATCGCTCAAAGTGCTATCAGGTGTAAGAGGGCGCAATCACAAACGTATCCTAAAATACAGCACCACATGCTTGTGCGACAAATAAGCAATTCCTGACGTGGAGGCTGAAGGACAGCCCCGACCTGGAGAAAAGAAGAACGACAACAGACCTTAAAGGGAAATCGGCAAGTGAATTTATATGAGTTATGAATCCCAGCTACCTTCAAATCAAACTAAGGGCTCCTAGAGGTTTTACTCATTCATCTTGCGCTCCTGATTTATAATAAAAGGGAGTACTGAGAATGAATCTCTGCTTTAACTTATACAAAATCTTGAGTGTACGGAGCATGAGCTTTAAAAGCTCGAGCTTAACTTTCGTGGAAAGCATCCAGCGCATACGCGACCCACCTCAAATGGTCAGTTATGGCACAGCCCGTAACAAGATGTCATTTAATAACTTAGAGTCATCAGTCTCTGTGGACTTGTACTCTCGACATTTTAGATTTTTGGTTGTATATTTCAACTATTCACGCTTGCCTTGGTCCTTCCTTTAATCCCTGTTATCAGGATCCTAAAAATGGAAGGGAGAATTTCATTGAGAAGGTTATGGGAATGTAAGGCCTTAATTCGGCAAGAACGCCCGGCGCTTTCGCCGCATACAATTGTCGCAGCGCGCTTCCTTCTAAGCTGTGGAGACACCTGTTAAAAAACGCTGTCTCATGGGGACATGCAAGACTCTGAACACCAGAAACTGGAGTGGTAAAATTTTACCGAGCCATGCGCGTCGTGTTCTGTACTTCACAAGTTCAAACATTAGTCGACGCTCTGGTCGGACGTCCATGAAACCTTACTGATACGATGTTGATGGTATCCGACGAGGATATCTATAGACACGATTGAATTGTGTTGATTATTATTGCCGTATGGATATTCCGCCTCGAGGTAAATCGTACCAATTAACCTCTGTGCATTGTATACACGGGCTAAGCTTCCTCTGTGCTTAATGCACGACAACACCGTTGTATATGCAGTCGATTTGACGATCAAGTCGGAAAAACAACTATATCCTCTGTGTCGCCTTCGCCACTATACACTCAGTAGCTTGCCTTCATTCCGCAAGCTTACCTACTATCCAACATACTACATGCGCATAAACATCATATCGAATGATGTGGTCCACTGCTAGCAATATCCGCGTATTCGAGATCTTTTAGTACTTGTTTTATAATGGCCCTAAGTTCAGAGTCCACAGCATATGGTACAAGTTCACTCTCTACTGACGAGCGCTTGAGTTCGCGTTCTGGAGCTCAACGCAAATGGATAAAATGGGGTGGATTTGGTGCAGGGATCATTGCTGTCGGATTGATAGTACTGAAAACCTCTTCCGTCTCGGCCTCCACCTCTTCAACTGTGGCCACTGCTACTTCCGATGAAGGGGACGTCACGTGCTTTCAAAGCTCGTTTGTTAACAATGTGACAAACATGATGGCACCAATCAAGGGTCTAAAGTGGACGTTGGGAGGTGAGAAGAAGACGAAGTCGTTCATTTCAATTGACGTGGACACACAGTTTCAAGAAATCATAGGCTTTGGTGGAGCTTTCACCGAAGCGGCTTCGCTTCAGTTCAACAGATTACCAAAACATAAACAGGAGGAGGTGCTGACGCTCTACTTTGACAAGGAACAGGGTAGTGCGTACGATTTCGGTCGAGTACCAATGGGTTCGTGCGACTTTTCGGTAGCATCGTACAATTTTGCCGAGACTGTTGACGATATAGATCTTGTGAACTTCGATGTAAATGTAACACATGATACAGAGACCATAATTCCTTTCTTAAAACGTGCGTTGGAGCGAAAACCGGACTTGAAGCTGTTTCTGGCCCCTTGGAGTCCGCCTGCATGGATGAAGCGATCAAGTTCTGAGTACACCGCGAGTATGCTTGGGTCTGTAAAGCCAGTTGGACTTAGAGACGATATGCGCGCTTCATGGGCCCTATACTTCTCCAAATTCATCACAGCGTACAAGAAACACGGAATCTCGTTCTGGGGATTGACTCCGCAGAATGAACCTGAGTTTGCGGCCCCGTGGGAAGCTTGTGCCTATACTCCAGAGTATCAGGCGGAATTTATTGGTGAGTATCTCGGTCCTGTGCTTGAGCGTGACCATCCTGGTCTGACATTAATGGTGTACGACCACAATCGTAACAACATTCAGCATTGGGCAAAAGTGATCTATGGGCATCCAACTGCTAGCAAGTACGTACACGGCATGGCCTTCCACTGGTACGAGGATGGTGCCGACCGGTACATGGATGGTGTGGAGTACCCGGAGCATCTAAATGAAACCCATTACATCGATCCGAACCGCTTTATTTTGGCGTCTGAGAGCTGCAACTGTCCCGGTGTCGCTTTCGGTAAGGACGCGTGGTTTCGCGCTCAGCGTTATGGCCACGATATTATGTCTGACCTGAATAATCACGTCGCGGGCTGGGTAGACTGGAATTTGTTGCTGGACCACACGGGTGGACCTAACCATAAGAACAATCTGTGTGATGCTCCGATTATATTGACGGAAAATGGGGATGACTTTCAAATCCAACCGATGTATTATTTCATCCAGCACTTTTCTAAGTTCATTCCGATCGGATCCCGTCGTGTGCACGTCAAAGTAGCTGCTCATTTTACGAAACCAGGTGATCCGCAGTTGTACCTTAATTACCAAACTTCTCTTGCAACTTGTGACGGCAGTTCTCGTCAAGCACTTCACAAGACAAATGATAACAAAATGCAAGTGACGAACACGCCCTTTTGCCTGAATATGGTGCCGTTGAGCGAAGGTCAGGAAATTCGTCTTGTGGAGTGTCAGTGGACTCAGCAGACCTGGACATTTGAGGAGACTACGCAACGTATACGCCTTGACGACAAGTGCTTGTCACTAAACGATAAATCAACGATGAATGGTGTGCGTGTGACAGTAGACAAGTGCGAAGCTGATGTGAAGCCGCACCAGCAGTGGACATTCAAGGATGAAGACGGCACAATGCGCTCGCAAGCATCGACAGAGAACCAATGCGTAACAGCAGGCTATTCGTTTGTCCAAGCTTCTGCTTTTGTAACGCCGGACAACCACAAAGTGTTGGTAGTGATGAACGAGAACACGGAAGCAGCTGAATTCCAGGTGCAAGTTGGTGATGCTGTGTTAGACACGGAGGTGTTGCCGGGAGCTATCCAAACGTATGTCTGGTAGTCGAGAAGAGGCCAAACGAGGCACCATTTAGCGCTGTTGGAAATTTGCTCTCTAGAGGAAGAAAAGCTCCGTGTGTAATCGTGTAAGAGGATATACAGATGTCAATAAAGAACTCTTTGGATCATAAAAATCGCTGTTAAGATTGAATCAAAGCATTCCAGTGTATGTGTGGCTATATTATCGCCCAGGTGGCCAGCCTAATAATACCGCAAATTGGAAAGGATTGTCGTGGACATTCGAGAAGCTGATTTAACTTTTAACTATTGATTGATGTCGTTATGAAGATACTCGAGAGCTAGACTAAGAACAGCACGAGTAGAAATTAAGCCAGGAATTGTCAATGTGGAAAAATGTCAACCTTTAGATCTCACTCGCTGTCTCGGCCTTCACACACTTCGTTATTGAACTATTGGCCGAATTTTACTTCCAAGTAAAGGTCCGAATGGCTCTAGGCGGTACAGACGTCTCCATGGCGACACCATCCACCTGAAGCTCAAACTTTGCTGGCTCTGTATTCTCATTCAGTACTACGAGCACCTTTTGATCTTCTGGCGTTACGAACGCACTTGCTTGCATAAATGCATAACCAGCAGTTACACACTGGTCTGTCGTTGATGCAAGCGAGCGCAAAGTGCCGTCTTTATCGTCGAATTTCCATTGTTGATGAGGCATCACGTCTTTCTCACAAAAGTCGGTGCTAATCCGCACTTCATCTATAGTGGAGCCGTGATTTAACGAGATACAGAAGGCGCCCATACGAATACGACCCGTGTCAGTCTCGTATGTCCAACGCTGCTGTGTGTAGCGGCATTCAACCAGAAGGCCTTGATGTCCCTGCCACGGAATTTCTTTAAGATCAAAGCAGAAACCACTGCCCGTGACTTCCAGCTTTCCGTCATTCGTCGGACGCCATTTTTGTCGTGAACTACCATCACACGTTGTCAGCATTGATGGGTAGTCAACATATAATTGTGGCTCTCCTGGTTGAGCAAATTGAGTTGCCACATGCGTTTTTACTCGGCGTGAACCAACAGGAATGTACTTGGAGAAGTGCTGGATAAAGTAGTACATTGGTTGAATGAAAAAGTCTTGTTCATCTTCTGTCATAATTATCGGAGCATCACATTTGTTTGCTAAGTGATTGGGTCCACCTTGGTGGTCAAGAATTAGATTCCAGTCTACCCAGCCAACCACGTGATTATTCAAGTCTGTCATGATGTCGTGTCCGTAACGCAGTGCACGGAACCACGCAAGATCTCCATGACCCACACCCGGGCAATTGCAGCTCTCGGTGGACAGCATAAAGCGACTTGGGTCAATATAGTGTGTGTCGTTCAAGCGCTCGTGATATTCGACACCGTCCATGTAGCGTTCATTATCGTACCAGTGAAAAGCCATTCCGTCTACGTACTGTGCCGCCGTAGGATGATTGTATATCGCTTCGGCCCATTGTCGAACACTCCCGCGATTGTGATCAAAGACCATGAGTACAAGACCTGGATGATCTCTTTTAAGCACCGGACCGAGATAGTTGCCAATGAAGTCAGCCTGATATTCAGCCGTGTACATGCAAGATTCCCATGGTTCTTCAGCTTGTGGTTCATTTTGAGGTGTTAGGCCCCAAAAGTCAATGCCGTGCTTCTTATAAGCCGTAATGAACTTGGAGAAGTACAGAGCCCACGGTGCACGAGCTTCATCTTTTATTCCAATAGGTTTAACCGAATTTAGCATACTCGGCTCTTGATTTGGCAACGCGCGCTTCATCCAAGCTGGAGGACTCCATGGTGCCAAGAAAAGCTTTAAATTTGGCTGTACTTCGATAGCACGCTTAATAAAAGGAATGAGCCACTTTTGATCGTGGGTCACATCGTTATCAAAGTGCACAAGGTTCGTATCATTGACAACATTATCAAAATTGTATGAACTGATTGAAAAATCGGATGATCCCATGGGTACACGTCCGAAAGTGTACGCACTACCATTACGCTGATCGAAGTAGAGCGTTAATACTTCTTCTTGCTTCTGTTTGGGCAGTTTACTAAATTGCAATGCTGCAGCTTCAGTGAAAGCTCCTCCAAAGCCCAGGATCACTTGAAACTTTGTGTTGAAGTCTACTGAAATGAAAGACGAAGCAGTTTTCACTGCGCTGTGAGTCCACTTTAAGCCGATTATAGGCTCCATCATATTGGTCTGATTGGCCAAATATGAGCTTTGAACGCATGCCACCTCCGAGTTCAAGGCTGGTGCGCTAACCTTGGTCTCAGCTGGTGCCACGGCATCGTTCTTCGGAAGACCATTAAGTCCGAAGATGACCAGAATGGCGCAGACGCCACAGATTCCAATGCTTACAAAAATCAATCGAATAATTTTGCGTCTCCGCGTCGTGCGGAGGCTCAGACGCTCGTCACTTTCCAAGGAGCTGGTGCCATAGGCTGTTGAATCAGTCGTCATCACCGTGTTTCGACTTGTTTGCGACTGAGAGGGCGAAGAGTTACGTTTTGCTTTGGTGGAAGATGCGGTTCACATAATATACACTTCAGAAAAATCTGTTTTTCAATATTAACAAGATATTCAAGTACTACTGTTTCTGCTGTTTGTTGATGCAAGCCAGTGCACCTTCAGCTCTTTTGTCCACTTAAGCGTCAAGAGAGGTCAAATGAAACTTGACGATCGATTAAAGCAAAACCATGGGGAGCTTGAGGAGTCGCAGCATCCAACAGTGTATCAGCTTGAAGTGGCCTGAGAGCGGATTTATTGAAGCACCTTTCGTCTCATTGTGCTACTATACTACTTTTCAATTGTTTTTTCTTTATTTAGCCGTATTAAATCATAAATTTCGAAATGTAAGGGCTTTCTCGATAATTACATTGAGTTTTTCCTTCCGGATAGTAAAATAAATGTTTTTAGTGTCAAATTGATTTTAATTCTCTTCTTTATATGTTACTTTTTCTATAGCAGGTCTGTAGCTGTCATTAGTCTTCTCGCAGATCTCATCGCTTCTATCATTGATTTGCTGACGGAAAGTGGTGTTATCTTCTTGCTTTCGTCTTTGGCTTTAAATGCGATATACGACATCGATGCAAGAACGTTGCAAACTCTTCATTGATCTCATCAAGGTAACGCCCTGCTATCCTTGACAGATATGATCGTAGCAAACAATATGTTTCATAGCAAATTCATTCAGACCAATTACTGAGAAGGACAATCTCATCTTAATCGAATGCAAATTTAAGCATTATGTTCGAATGTCATAAATGAAAAACCATAGATGGATCGTTATTTAATCAAATGGAGCAAATCGCCGAAAGTTCCCGAGGCCGATGATTTGGCGACGTGTCATCATTCAATAACACTGTCGGTATCTGTGAATTTTTTACCAGTAGTTAAGTTTCTTTCGGAATTGAGAAAGTATCCATCGCTCCCTGTCATTTGAAAAAAGGCGATGGCACGGAAAATATGGTTCCAGTTACTAGATGATGAAAGTCACCACGCGTTTGCGGGTATTGCGGCAGCTTCAGTCATAGCAAGTAATGATGTTAAAGATATTGAAGACTTCCGCAACAAGGTTCATGCGAAATTCGATCGCACTCAGTCTCGAGGAAGTGCAACTCTTGCCCATGTTGC